CAGCGCTCCATTGAAATACCCTATTCTTACTCGAGTTATCGGGCACAGACAAACAAACAGACCAAGAATCAAACAAACAGGATAGACGGTTCCGGCAGTGCCCATTTACAGAAGAATTAAGGAAATTACCACCGGAAACAGTTCTGAAATAGACCATTCCGTTCGTGCCTCTCGCAAATCAAATGCACGGGAAGTCGGCTATTTCAAAACGAAATTTAGCCTACCTAGAGCCCTAGAATCTGTTATTAAGTGACAAACTAGTTCTCATCGGAATAGACGGTTCCGGCAGTGCCCGTTACAGAAGAATTAAGGAAATCACCACCGGAAACAGTTCTAAGATACAGGTTAAACCAACGCATATGAACCTTAACAGTTACTAGGGAGGTACTTGAGTTCATTTGCGTCGATCCGCAGTGTCAAATAGGAAAAAATAGGCGAAATTAAGTACTGGTTCCGGTACCGAATTCCTTACTTCTTCACGAAACGCGCACAGCCGGAACCGTCTGTAGGATACTCACAATAGACCATTCCGGTAAAGCGAAAAGAAAGAAGAACAGACGAAAGAAGCAAAGGCGAGTATGAGAAATAAACGGTGGTGCGTCGGTTCCACGGTCGTATCAAACGGTTAAACGTGACTTGTCTGATGTCTAAATTCGTCTGAGAGTTACTGACAATAGTTTTAACTCTAAGGCAACGCAGAATATCCAGTTTACAATGGATTACGTTCAAGCGGTCCCAAGGCGCACCGTACATTTCTCATAGAACGCTTTGCTTCTTCCGTCTCTTCTTTCTTTTCGGTTTACCGGAATGGTCTATCAGGGGCTCGGCTAGACCGGAAGGAGAAGAACAAAAATCGTCGGGAGCGGGGAGGATCGGGGCAGGGTGGGGGCAGTACCCCGCTCCTCCCCGCGCCCGACCGGCCCGACGATTTTTGCTCTTCTCCTTCCGGTCTAGTCGAGCCTCGGAGTACCCTATGAAACTTTCATGGTCAGTGGAGAAATAGACTATTCCACCGAATATGGAGGAAGAAAGAAAAGAATAGGGTATTTCAATGGAGCGCTGGCCGGAACTAAGAAGAACAAACGCGGATGCAGAGAGCTGTGGTGGGGGCGGGCGCTCGGAGGAGCGGTGGGTGGAGGGGAGCCTCCCCGCCCGCCCCCACCACAGCTCTCTGCATCCGCTTTTGTTCTTCTTAGTTCCGGACAGCGCTCCATTGAAATACCCTATTGAAAAGCACCGGAAACAGTATTGGTAAACAGATCAAATAGATGGTTCCGGCAGTGCCCGTTTTACGAAGAATTAATGAAATCACCACCGGAAACAGTTCTAAAACAATGGCTTAAATCAGTGAAAACTAAAATTGACAGTTACTTTAGAGATTTAATCGAGGTCATTTACGTCAAACTGCACTCTCAAATGACAAAAATAAGCGCACTTTAGGTACTGGTTCCGGTCCCGACTTCTTCATTTCTTCTCAAAAAGCGCACTGTCGGAACGGTCTATTGTTAACACTTTCTAGATTTCTTGATAAAAATAATTATTTCGAACTTCTTGGCAAGGCACACAGATGAAAAAAAAGGTCTACATACTGTTTTTAAGTACTGTTTCCGGTACTTTGAGATTCTTTCCTTTCTTCTTGCACAATCGGAGGAATGGTCTACAGACTTCGTTAACGCTCAGCCAATAAATTTGCAGCTGTATCTGTCAGCTGACACAGAAACACAGTAAGTAAAGCATTCAGGTAAAGCTAAAATGAAGAAAAATGCGAGGAATGAGAAAACGGAAATCACTATGCTTTTACATGGAACGTTCGTTTGCTTGTTCCCTGCATTCTTCTGCATTTCAGATTTACCGGAATGCTTTATTTGAACGAGCTTTCACCGCGAGACTTTTGGCGAGACGATGGCGAGCCTTGAAGGGAAAGCCGAGCTCAAAGAACCAAAAACGGCCCCAGGGCAAAGCTACGATGCGTCAACCAAGAAAATGGTTTAATTTTCAAATTCAAACAAAATGTATGACTTGCCCCATGTAAATAAAGTAGCCAGTAGAACCGTGGCTTATCGCTAGAGCAGAGCAGCCGCTGCTATAGAAACCCGAACAGAGACACTAGACAGTCTGAAGACTGGTAAGACTGGATTAGACTGGAGCTAGTCACTGATTAGTTTGTCTAGGGTGTTTTGTCAGCGTCACAGAACCATACGTTCGTCGAGCGCGTCGCAGCAAAAGTGCTTGGTGAGATATCACGAAGCCTGTTACGCGAGACGTGGCGTGGCGTACATACGTAGCTATAGTTGAATAAAGCATTTCGCTAAAGCTCAAATGAGAAGAACGCGGGGAGCAAGACAATGAAAGTTACCATGTTCAAGCTATGAGATTTGCATTTTGTTGTTCCCCGCATTCTTCTTTCTTTTCAGCCTTACCAGAACGCCTCATTCCTAACAAAATAGCACTTGAAACAGACTGGAATGGCCTTGTATCCGTGAGCCCCAATAAGCACTGCTTGATAACCACCAGTGCAAAAAATGCGGTTGAAATATTTCACAGTGCGTTCCGGTACTGATGTAAAGCAGGATAATGTTGGGGAATGAAGGAGTCGCACACTACCGTAAGTGCCACTAAAGAAGTTAAACTAGAACTAGATAGACAAACCCGGAAAGAGGAACACGGAAAAACTAATGCTTGGCTGTGATAGCCAATGTCACTCACCTTTGCTTGTTGTCCGAACGTCTGCGTCTGCGAGCGGCGAGGCGAGCGGCCGTGTGCACGGTAGGAGACGAGCGGGCAGACTGACTGGGGTGGGGAGAGGAGGAGGAGGAGGAGAGGCCGCCGGCCCGGAGCCTGCCCTGCAGCGCGCGCGTCGGCCTCCCTGCTGCCTGCCGGCCTGCTGGGGGAGAGGGAAGAGGGGGGGGGGCGGCGAGGGAGCGTCCCCTCCCCCATCACTCCTCGCCTGAAAAACAAAAGCACGAGTGCCTGATCAGTTTCCTCTTGAACGCTGATTAGCATTCCGGTTCTCTTGCATTTCAGCTCTTCCGGAATGCTTTAAGGCAGATTTAGTCTCGTGAGGCCCCGGTATCGCCGGGGGCGGTACGGAGCCGACGAGGGGCGCGCGGATGTCGCGCACAGAGCAGCGAGGCAGGGCCGTCCGGGCCTGCGCTGCATTCATTCCCCGTCCTTCTTCGGCTCGGCCGTGGCCGGGACTCGTGGCCGGGACTCTACAGGCGGTCGCCAGCTCCGCCAGGGCGGTCGGCATCGGGCTGCGGGGCGCGCCAGCTCGCGGTGCCCGCCAAGGCCAGGCTGAAGGCCATGCGCGTCCTGGCCGTGACCGCGGTCCTGGGTGTCGCCGATGTCCTTGGTGAAGTGAACTCAGGGGGCGGTGCAGGTGGTGGAGGGGGACCGGGGATCGAACGGTGTTCATGTTATCGCCACGGCCGTCCTCAAATGTCTGAGGGGGAAGAGGGGGGGGGGCAAATAAAATCGGTATGCCAGCCAATAGACCGTTCCGACAGTGCGCTTTTTAAGAAGAAATGAAGAAGTCGGGACCGGAACCAGTACCTAAAGTGCGGTTATTTTTGTCATTTGACGGTACAGATCGACGTGAATAACCTTGATTAAATCTCTAGTAACTGTCAATCTTATTTTTTACTTATTTAACTTATAATTTTAGAACTGTTTCCGGTGGTGATTTCATTAATTCTTCTTTAAACGGGCACTGCCGGAACCATCTATAGGGTATAAACCATTCCGGTAAAGCAGAAATGCAGAACAATGCGAGGAACAAGAAAACGGAAGTCACCGTGTTAAAGCATGGCTATTTCCGTTTTCTTTTTCCCCGTATTCTTCTGCATTTCAGCTTTACGGGAATGCTTTATAGGTCTTGAGCGCTGAGCGGAAGTCGAAGAACAAAAACGGAAACGGAAGATGGAAAGGCGCCCGCACTGCCCGCACTCCTCCCCGCCTGCCCTCCACTTCTCCTTGGGCGCTCCCACACTCGGCCCAGTGGAGGACAGGGGGACGGCGCGGGTGCCTTTCCACATTCCGTTTTTGTTCTTCGACTTCCGGTTAGCGCACTAGACCAATAGACCATTCCACCGAATGGGGAAGAAGAAAGAAAAGAATCAAAAGGTACCGGAAACAGTAACACAAACCAGTATGAGGAAGTTGCACAGTGTGGCGGAGCGTAGCGGGAAACAAAACAAAGCACCATAACCTACCAGAAGGAATGCTTTATATCGCGGATTAAGTTCTTTTCTCAAAGTGCTATGTGAATGCATAAGTGCATATAAAGGCTGCACATTGCTTGAAATCTTGTCAAATACTGCTTTCTGGATGTATAGCGTAGTTTTCTTTTGTTGCTTTCTGCTTTGTTTTGGTTCCCCGCTACGCTCCGCCACACTGGGCAACTTCCTCCAGAGAGAAGAGGAGAGCGGAAGGCCTATGCGTTTGCTATAGGGCGAAGTGAGGCGCGCCGCACATCTGTGGCGTACTGGCAGCGGCCCGTCCGTGGCCGTTCGGCACCACTTCGGCTCCACTTCGGAGTACGCGAGATCCCTCAGCCGCGTAAGCGACGTGGGTGCCCCGGCCCGGCTCGGCCCGGGGGCCAAAGGCCCGGCTGGACAAGCTCGACTCTACTGGCTTCGGGGCACCTCGGTGCTCGAGTACTGCAGCTTCGGGGGTCGCGTACTGCGCCGAGGCCGGGTCGTCCCCCGGCCTCGGCTCGGCTTTCTGCACTGCCTCGGCTTGGCATTGGCTTGCTCGACTCAGGTAGCCGACTGTCCTCGGCACCCTTCAAAGATCCGCGCGCGGTCGCCTCTGAGTGACAGTCGTGTAGCTTGTCTTTGTCGCGCCAGTGAGTACAAGCGAGAGTGAGTGAGACACCTGCGCTGGGCTACTCGAAGGTAGCCCTCCCCCACCCCATCCCGCCCAGCCAATAGGCGCGCGGGACGGCAGCCGCTAGCGCGCTTACGCACGGGGGACCAGGCCCGAAGCTCGGTGAACCCAGTGGCCAGATGTTTTGCGAGGCACGGTTTTATTGCACCTCTTTCCGCTCTCCCTTTCTCTCTGACTTCCTCATGTAGATCATTTTTGAACACCTCTGTGGCACATCAACAGGTCCAGAATAATTATCTTGGTTAAGAAAACTAGAAAAAGTGAACGGTTTGATCTGTTTATCAATAGTGTATTTCGACTAACGGAGGAAGAAGAATAGCGGGTAGAACATAAACGTTACCGATTGGCCGAGAGCTTCCCGCCTCTACGTCACGCCGGTAGTTGGGGTAAGCGCTCGGCCAATCAGGAACCTA